ACTTTCATTCCTTTAATCATGTATGCTCTCTTCTGAGTACATCTCCCTCTCTCCTTTCAATTTAGTTTTTCCCCATTGTAACACATTTCTCTAATTTTAATCAGTTCTTTAAGATGCAGCTGAAGTATTATCCTTCCACAGAACATTTCTCTCGCAGTCCATTCTTAGGTGAATGTTTCTCCTCTGTGCTCCTTGAGATTACTACAGATTTACAAGATTTTGTAATTTTAAAACAGTAGCACCAACGTCATTCTTGTTAAATTTAAAGCAGTTTACAGACATAAAAATTAAATGAGTATCCCCAGTAAGTTATCGTTCTGTAGAATTTCCACATTCTGTGGAAAAGTTTGACGTACACAGTTCATTTGAGGCCTTGTAATATCTGACATGTTTTGGGGTCCCCATAATTCCTATTTGATAATTAGAAATATAAAATCTTTCTTATGTATATGAGTATATTGCCTGCATACTGTGTAAGTGCACCTATGTCATCCAAGGCCTGTGGAGGTCAGAAGAGGTCATTGAATCCTCTGGAATTGGAGTTACAGATGGTTGGTTAGCTGCCATGTGAATGCTGGGAACTGAACTTGGGTCATCTGCAAGAGCAGCCAGTGCTCTTAATTGCTGAGCCATCTCTTCAGCCCCAGAAATATAAATTCTTGATAAATCTGGGTTTGATTCTTTGATAAGTTTTTCATATGTGGTCACATGGTTGCTGTGGCACCACCACAGTGGTGTCCCCTCCTTTCTTTCTCTTTTGTTTTGTTTTGTTTTGTCAGGGTCTCCCTGTAGCCCCACCTGTGCTGGAACTCACAGAGATCTTCCTACCTCTACTTCTGCCTCCCAAGTGCTGGGATTAAAGGCACCGGTGTCCTTTCTAATGAAGTTGACAAACTGTCTAATGTCATGAGATAACTTACTTTGCCTTCAAAGGCTGATAATAGTCATTAACAAAGAGAAGAGAAGGAAAATTCAGATACCATGAGGGGAAAAGAGAATATTAAGGGATCACAGATGGTGATTGCCAGAGAGAGAGGACTCAATGATTAGAAGTACTTGCTGCTTTTGCAGAGTAACTGGGTTTGATTCCCAGCACCCATGTGGCAGGTAACAACCATCTGTAATTCTAGTTCCAAGGGATCTGACACTCTCTTCTGTTCTCCATGGTATACTTACATACATGCAGGCAAAACACTCATATATATAAAATAAAAATAAATTGGGGTTGGAAAGCTGGTTCAGTAGTTAAGAGCACTGGCTGTTCTCAAAGAAGACCCAGGTTTGAGTGTCAGAACCCACATAGTGGCTAACCCGTCCATAACTCCAGTTCTAGGGGATCCAATGCCCTCTCCTGTCCTCCAAGGCTACAACATGACAGCAGTGCACTTGCATGCAGGCATAACACTCATAAAAATAAGTAATAAGTAATAGTGTAATGGTGAGCACTCTGTACTCTGAAAAATAAGTAATTTTTTTTTAATTTTTGACAGACTGTTAATTTCCTTAACCTCTAGAATTTATCAGAAAGCGTAGTCCACCATAAGATCAAGAATGAATTAATAAATATTTGGACTACCATAGACAAAGTCACATAGCATATCACATATAATAAAGTTTGAAAACCACATGTTCACTACAGAATTTCATCTCCTTTTATATGAGATAGTGCCCTAACACTTGGGCATTGTTGATTTTTATCACATCTACAAAGACAGTTTACTAGTCTCCAAGAGAGTTTCATTTCTTTTTCTTTTTTCCTTCTTCTTTTTTTTTTTGTCTTTTTGAGATGGGGTCTCTCTTGTAGCCCCAGCTGGCCTGGAACTCACAGAGATCTGCCTGCTTCTGCCTCCCTAGTGGTAGGACTAAAGACGTGCACCACCACAGTGGGCAAGTGTTTCTCCTTTTATACCGACTTTTTTTTATTTCTCTGACTCTTCCATTTCTTACTGTCTGTGAGCTATCACTGACGTTCTAAAATGTCTCTGTCTCGTAATTAACATCTTAATCCTACTAATTTGCTCTTTAAAGTTTGATCTGTCCTAAGACTTAAAACATCTAAGGATAGTTAAATGTTCTGTTAGGTTTTAGACAATCTGTTAGGTTTTAGACAGTTGACTGAGTAATAACATTGCGTTCTATAATTCATATTTTCATTAAACAGACTTTTGCTCACTGACAAATTAGGAGACAAATCCTGAGAGGATTTATTTTGGCTCAGAGTTTGAAGTTTCAGGTCAGGGTTGTCTGAATCCAATTGCCTATGCCTGGGAAGAAGCAGACTCTCCTGGTAGTGAGAGAGTGTGGTGGAGGCTTATCACCTCATGGCAGCCAGGACGCAAAAGAGATCTTCAAAGATATCCCTCCCCCACCAACTAGGCCCCATCTTCTGCAGTTCCACCACCTTCAAATTGTTATTCAAAGTTTGGTTTTGATTAAACCATTGATTAGATCAGAGCCCTCCTAACTTATTTCTGTGTTTCTAATTGACACTTGGGTGTGTGTTGCTGATCATCTAGGAGTCTCAGTCTAATCAAGTGACAATATTAACCACCCCCCAAAACTCCAGTATTCATGGAATGTCAAAATTTAAGTTATACACTAAAACTTAATAGTTTAATTATATATGCTTACTTACTAGATTACACCACCACCGTCACTGTCAGATCCACTTAAAGAACTTTTTCGACAACAAGAAGTTGTAAGGATGAAACTACGTTTGCAACACAGTATTGAAAGGGTAAGATCAGTAAATGTAACTCTATGCAAAAAATAAATAATCATTTTAACAATACATAAAATGCTCTACAGTTTTGCATTAGTGAATTTTCATTATTTATAGTTAATTTGGGGAATAGTGTGATTTTGTTACTTGTGCTGATCCAGTTAAAGGGAGAATTTTTACACTTACCTTAGGATAGCTGCTCAAATATTACACTGCATCTTGGAGTGCATTTTTGATATGTAAAACCTAATAATTTATCATTTGTTAAATTTGTGGAACTAGAACAGTAGAGTCCTACTAGAATGTTCAGAATTTCATGTTTTTGAATGATTGCTTGATTTACTAGCTGCTTTAGGGCAATGGGGAAAAGTATGTTTATTTGTTCTTATAGGTCTTAGTTTCTAGTTTTCAGTAGTCTCAGCATGAAATTAAAAAAGAAAAAACTTACTCATGGAAATCATGAAAGTCATTTTACTTGGTTATACAAAAATATATCACCTTAATCTTGTAGGAGAGTCCTATGGTCTCTGAAAAATATAAGCTGTTTCACAGAAGTATGTACACACCTGTCTTTGATTTATACATACATGATGGCTTCCCCACAGCAGAGCCTCTTAACCTGTGTATTATGGACCAATTTAGGAAACTTGGAACGTCCTCTTAGACTATTGTTTTTAAATGAATAAACTATGGGATTACAAAGAGAAGCAAGAAACAAGAGAAAGAAGCACTGGTACAGTATGTAGCGCACCATGCATCACCCAGTCCCTCTCCCCAAACCGAAGAAGCAGTTCTTTGTTAAACAACAGTCACTATCCTCATAACACACTGCTTACAAGGCTCTGGACATCCTTACTAGTACAGGTCGCAGGGTTATCCTGGTTGATCTTTAAGACCAAAAAAAAAAAAAAAGTTACCAAATGTCACAGGTCTACAGCAGAGATCAAGATGGGTTACAATCTGAAAATGGACATCTGGAATTCTCTCTGTTAAATCTCTGTTAAGTCTCTCATTTCATTCAGGACTCTTATTACATAACTGGAAGATATTGCTTCTTCAGTTTGGGGAGAGTAGGTGATGCATTTTTTTGTTTTGTTTTGGTTTGGTTTTTATTAGTCTTTTTGAGATAGGGTCTCTGTAGCCCCAGCTGACCTGGAACTCACTATGTAAGCCAGGCTGGCCTCGAACTCACAGAGATCCGCCTGCCTTTGCCTCCCAAGTGCTGGATGCTGGGATTAAAGGCATGTACCACCACACCTGGCTATTTTTTTTTTTAATATCTTATCATTTCTGTTTTATGTGTATGAGTGTTTTGCCTGCATGTGAGTGCACCCGTGTCATGTCGTGCAGTGCTGCAGAGGTCAGAAGAAGGCTTCGAAGTGCCCTGGAACTGGTGTTAAGGATGGTTCGTAGCCGCCATGTGGATGCTGGGAATCGAACCCAGGTCCTCTGCAAGAGCAGTCAGTGTCTTAACCGCTGAGCCATCTCTCCAGCCCCCATACCAGGCTATTTTTAAAAGATCTGTGCAGAGTTCTCTTGGCCTTCACTCTGTTTCTGGTGATGAGGCTGTCCTCCTGATACAGAGAGGGCATGGAAGTTTTATTTCCTGCTTTCCAAAATAAAGGGATGTCAAAATGCCCTTGTCTTGCTGTTTTTCAAATTACTGCAGCCTCAAATAATCCTTATGCCAAACTAGCGTGTTTTGAAGTGGCCTGGTCTGCCACCCTTCAAACCCAAGTGATCAACTCATGAATGGGATAAATAACATGCTGTTATGTCTGTCTAGTAGATTATTACTTGTTCATGGAAAGGAAGTCGATACCTAGTACATACTACAACATGGGTAAATATTGAAAATATGCTAAGTGAGATAAACCAGTCAGAAAAGGCCACATATTGTACGATTTTATTTATAAATAATGTTCAGAACAAGTAAACCTTATAGACAGACAGTAGATGACTGGTTGCCAGAAGATGGAGGAAGGAAGAGTGCCTGTCGATGATGTGGGATTTCTTTCTAGTGTGCTGAAAATGTTCTTAGTGAGTATGCTAAAAGCCACCTACACTTCAAAAAACCAATTTTAAGAAAGAAACTGCTGGCACTGGGTATGGTGGTACATGCCTGTAGTCCCAGTGCAGAGGCAGAGGCAGGTGGATTTCTGTGAGATCGAGGCCAGCCTGGTCTACATGATGAGTTCCAGGTCAGCTGAGGCTGCAGGGAGACCCTGTCTCAAAAAAGCCAAAAAAAAGAAAGAAAGTGGCAATTCTGAAAAGAGATTATACTCCTAGATCAAATAGGATTTTTTTTTAATTTTTACAATTTCATTAGAATTTTAAAGAAAAAGAAATCCTCAGGGCAGGCGAGCTGGTAATCTTGACAGCTGCCTTGAAGAGGAGGTCAGACACGTGGCTGACTCACATGACTGGGAGAAGGAAGCTTTAGAGAAAAAGTAAAGAAATGCAAGATGCTAGGGGCAGCCCAAAGCCTTAAAGAAAGCATGTTTACTAAGAAAGGCATGAAGAAAAAGGGAAATTACGCTTCCCTGAAAAATTCAGGGAAGCAGGCAACTCACAGACTACATGGCTGTAGCTAGCAAGTTCTGCACCTGTAGGCAGGATTCCAGGCAAGAGAAAATCATTATCTCATTAATGCACTAGGTATTCTGCCCATCTGTTTAGCATAACCCACCCTCCTGGGGTGGTCCTATGACTGGATGATTGACAGTTAAACTTAACACAAAATGGAGGTGCTCGGAGTATTACATTCTCCACTGGCTCTGGGATATAAGTCAAATTTTTTATTTGTTTTGATTTTGAGGATTATACTGGGTCCTTAGAACTCTAATTTTGATGGCATTTGGGCGCCTCTTTATCTATCCGGTTAAGCAATCTTGGAGGCATCGACCCACCATAAACACTAGGAGGAGTATTACCAGAGGCCCAGTAAAACTCAATTATACTTGAATTATTGGCATAAAAACAGCAAACCTCACCTAAAGCCATGTATGAGCCATCTTCCTTTAGGAACAGCAGGTCTGTCCCCCTTCTGTTCTGTAGCACCATTTTAGCTAGGGAGTTAACCTGTCTCCCCAGCTGCCCTATCGAGTCCTATAGATGTCCGATGTCTCTATGTGAGAGCCTAGAGGCCTAAAATTTTTATTACCCATGGCTAGGGTGGCAGCACCCAAAGCATCAGAGCCTGTAATGCCTGTTTTCACAAGGATGGCAGCGGGACTTCTCTTGGCCCTTGAGAGACCTGAGTTAAGGTGAAGTGTTTCTGCCCTTTTTCTCTGCTGTAGAGATAAACCCTAGGGGGAGAACATGGACTGGTATGCACATGTATCCATGGTGAAAGTCCCATTTTAGCTGTTTTGTAGTCGTGTACTTAGTAAGATTGAAGGTGCATACCCATCAGGTGGTTTCAGGGGCTTGAAAGAATAAACCCAGGTTTCCTGAGATCCTATGGGGCTATATGTCGCTCTAATATTTTCTCCCCTCTGTATAGGTAATCTTTAAAATTTAGGAATTAGACAAGAGCTCTTAAATTCTTTTGATATTTCTGGATTTTGATACAGACCAAGCTGCTAAGAAGCCCAAGGACATTTTGACTTTTAACCAAGAAAAGAGACTGGCTACTTTTCTTTGGTTTTGTTTGTTTGTTTGTTGTTTTTTTCCCTGACTGCCTAGCCAATTTCTATATTCTTTTTTTTTTTTTTTTTTGAGACAGGGTCTCCCTGTAGCCCCAGCTCCTGGAACTCACTATGTAGACCAGGCTGGCCTTGAACTCACAGAGATCCGCCTGCCTCTGCCTCCCGAGTGCTGGGATTAAAGGCGTGCACCACCATGCCAGGCTATATATTCTATTTTTATTATACCATCCTTTGAAGCAGTTACCCCAAATTTGCCAATGGGGAATCAGACATAGACTGCTCTGGCTTCTTCCATGCTGAACAGGGATGCAGGGTGTGGCAATTGGGGTACCCCCTTCAGTGGGTCTATCTAAAAGACTCCCAAATTGTATAACTCATCTGTAGGGAAAAAAGAAAGTCCTTGACTAGGAACACTAGGAATTTTTTACTGTCTCAAGATTACTGAGAAGAAAATGCTACTCTGTGACTCAGATTATTTTGTGTATCTTAAGTGATTTTATCTAATTTCACAAATAAATTGGTAAAGACTTGATTTAAAAAATTTTTTCTTCAACTAGGAAAAACTTATTGTATCCAATGAACAAGAAGTTCTACGAGTTCATTACAGAGCTGCAAGAACACTGGCAAATCAAACACTGCCCTTTAGTGCTTGTACTGTCTTACTGGATGCAGAAGTATACAGTGTGCCCTTGGACTCACAGGTAAAGTGCTGTAACTGGTTGAGGTCATGGCTTAGTGACTAAAGCACTCAGCATGTACAAGTGAGGATCTGAGTTTGAATCCCAGGAACACATGTAAAGCTGGACACAGTCTATAATTCTGGTGCTCCTACAGCAAGATGAGAGGTAGCAATAGACAATCTCCAGAAACCCATGGTCCAGCTAGCCTGGCATATGCAGTGGCAAGCACAGAAAAACCTTGTCTCAAACAAGGTGGAAGGTAAACTGATGCCTAAGGCCTTCTTCTGCCATACACACATGAACACACAGCAGCATACAAACAGATAAACCAAATAACATAGTATATCTGTTAGGATCATACCCTTACAAATAACTAGAACTTGTCATTTGTTTCTAAAGTAGATATTAAACAGTCGACCCAGATCCAGCTTGTAAACCAGTGAGTTTATTGGAGTTCCTTAAAGGAGCATAGACAACTAATAGGCAACTACATCTCAAAAAAACTCTTCCCGTCCCCTACAATTCATCAGCACTTACATAGCCTGAGCCTTTGAGCCTGGCCTGAGCCTTCCATGTGGGAATGTTAATAGGCTTAAATTTCTGATAGGCATGGCAGTACACACCTATAATCTCAGTACTCGGGAGGCTTCTAAGGCAGAAGGATCACAAGTTTGAGGCCAGCCTAGGCACATAATGAGATCCTGTCTCAAAAAAAAAAAAAAAATTCACATTTTTTATTTTTTATTACATTTGTGTGTGTGCACTGCTTGTTACAGTGCAGTTGTAGAGGTCAGAGGGGTTAGTTTTCTGCTTCTACCAGGTGGGTCCTATGGCTCAAACTTAGGTTGTCAGGCTTGATGGAAACAACTTTGCCCACTAAGCCATCTTACTGGGCCAAGAAGTTCCAAAATAGTTACATAGTACATACATTGCAAGAAGTTAATATTCCAGCAAACTAAGGATGATCTCGAATATTCCAGCAAACTGAGGATACTCTCAAAATTAAAACTGCAACAAGATTGAGGCACAGTTGCTGTAATAATTAAAAGGCTGAAATACTGAGTCATCTTTTGAAGGAAAAAATGTTTTCATACTAAGCTGAAGAAATTACTGCTTTAGACTATATTCACTGTTCTTGGATTCCTACTCAACTTTTTCTTTAATCTCTCCTAAAAGTAAATTAGACACTTTTTAAAAAAAAAAAATTTTTTTTTTTGGTCTTTTTTGAGACAGGGTCTCCCTGTAGCCCCAGCTGTCCCTGGTACTCATTATGTAGACCAGGCTGGCCTTGAACTCACAGAGATCCGCCTGCCTCTGCCTCCTGAGTGCTGGGATTAAAAGCGTGCGCCACCACGTCCAGCCTATTTATTTATTTTTTATTTTATGTGTATGTGTGTATTGCCTGCATGTAGGTAAGTACACCCGTGTAGTGCAGTGCCCACGGAGGTCAGAAGAAGCTGTCCGATCCCCTGGGACTGGAGCTACAGACAGTTGTTAGCTGCCATGTGGGTGCTGGGATTCGAACCCAGGTCTTCTGCAAGAACAACCTGTGTTCTGAACCGCTGAGCCATCTCTCCAGCCCCAATAAGACACATTTTAATATTAAATTTTTTTGATAATTTAAGTAATTTTGCATCTACCTCAAATTTTCCTAATGATCTAGACCACCAGGTTTTAGATTAAAATTAAGCTTGATGAAATACCAGTATGTGAGGCTTATTATCTTGATGAGGATACTTACCCTTAAAACCATTATGCATTTTTGAGGATATAAGCCCAGAAAGAGCCTTTTTTGAGCTGGCATTAGGGTAGGTCATGGTAGCAGCTTGATTTCCTTGCAAATGACCTCTGAGAACTGCAAAGTAAAGTCCACCCCTCCTTGATGTTAGGGCTTAAATTCATCCTTCAGCACACCCTAGCATACTTCTCCCTTTTCAAAATAAGCATGTAATATAAAATAAACATAAAGTAGCCAAAACATCTTTGAGAACAGAGGACATGATCTTTGCTAAGAATGGGCAGGTGGATGTGAGGCTATCCAGATGTTACTTTGACAGTGCTGGCAGAATGGCAGTCCTAATAGAGCTGTATTGAGTACTTTCTGTATGTGTAGACATTGTAACAGGGGCCTTAAGGGCACTTTAAATTCTCAAGACAGGCTTAAGAGAGTTACTTTTAACCCATTATGTAGAATAGAAAATTGAGAGGGAGTGTGTATCAGTCCAACTTACACAGAAAGGCACAAAGCTGAAATCTGAATACAGCCTACCTTCCAAAACTGATGCTTGTAAGAGTTGGTAAAGAATTTCTTTTTTATTGTGTTTATATATATGTATGTAGGCATGTGTGCCACAAATGTACATGTGGAGGTCAGAGGACAGCTTTGAAGAGTTGATTCTCTTTTCTACCTTTATTTGAGTTCTGGGAATCGAACTCAGGTCATCAGGCTTCATAGCAAGCACCTTTACCTGTTGAGCCTTCTCACCAGCCCTGATTCTTTATGAATACTACAAAAGATCCATCCCGAAAGAAATGTTGCCTTTAATGGTACCTGAACACTTTGATAAGCTTTAATACAAGAGTTAAATCTGAAATTAGCCTTTAATGAGGACGTCACAGCACAATACTTCATAAGCACAGCCTTTTGAGAAAGCAGGAAAAGAGTATTTAGTCATTGTAAGGATCTTCAGGATTCTGAGTAGTACCCTGTCTGCTTGATAAAGCTAATAAAAGTTTTATCAAATTTCCTCTTATTAGAAATATATTCCCATCAGAAATAGAAATGAGACATAGAAATAAATAGGGTATTTTAATGGCATACAGATTTTTTAAGTGGTGTAATGTTTCAGTGCTCTACTGCATTTAATGTTCTTTTTCAGTCTGATGACAGTAAAACTTCTGTGAGAGACCGCTTTAATGCAAGACAGTTTATGTCCTGGTTACAGGATGTGGATGATAAATTTGACAAACTAAAGGTAGGTATGTTTACCAGTCAGTTGTGTTTTTTGTTGTTATTGTTGTTTATTGTTCATTTTGGCACAGGGTCTCATGTATCCCAAAACTGGCCTTTAACTAGACGTAGCCAAGGTTAACCTTGAACGTCTGATGCTTCTACCTCCACCTCCTGGGACCTAGAATTACAGGCATGCACCACCATGCCTGGTTACACATGCTAGAGATTGACCCCAAGTGCTTGCCAAGCAAGTGTTCCATAAACTGAGCTATATCCCTTCAAACCAGTTTAAATAAATGTCTCCCTGTCCTTAGAAGTTGACATTGTATTAGTGAGAAGTAATTAGGAAAGGAAATACTGGTTAATCATGAATATTCACTCTGGACCACAGTTGGAACGGTAAGGGGAAATAAAAACCATAAGTTCATTTTAACAGCTGATGTAGTATAAAAGATCAAACCGAAAAAAAAAACTTTAAAAATTAAATTAAAAAAAGATCAGACTGCCACAGAAGCACTGGTTTTCTTTGCATTTCTTTTGCTTGTCCAGTATATGTGTCTAGTTATAACTCTTAATACATGAAGAATACAGTGATAAAAGGAATATAGTTTGTAGATCTACAAGTAAAATTATTTGCTGTGCATAGTGGTGCATACTTATAATCCTAGGAGACAGAGACAGGAGGATTTCCACAAGTTTGAGGCCAGCCTAGACTACATAGCAAGACCCTGACCTGAAAGTTTAAAACATTTCTGCCTATATTATATTATTGTATAATTAAAAATAATAATAAATCATTAGAAAAAGATGATCCAGGTTTGGTTCCCATCGCCCACATAACAGCTAACAACCATCTGAAAACGCCAGGTCCAGGGGAATCCAACACCCTCTTCTGACCACCTCAGACATTGCACAACATGTGTGCACTTACATACATGAGGGCAGTACACTCATACACATAAAATAAAAATAATAGAATATTTTTTTAAGATGAATATGAAGTGGCAGACTCAGAAACAGGTGACATGTTGATATGAACAGAGTAGAATGCTAGTAGACTTGTATGATGACTTCCTTGCTCCTAATTTATCTTAGTCTGTAATGAAACTGGATGAGATTAATTTTCAACAGAAAAAAATTAACAGAATAATCAGCTCTTCTCTTCTTTTAATAGACCTGTCTTTTAATGAGGCAGCAACATGAAGCTGCAGCTTTAAATGCCGTCCAGAGATTAGAATGGCAGCTCAAACTCCAGGAGCTCGATCCTGCCACCTATAAGTCTATCAGTATTTATGAGATCCAGGAGTTCTATGTTCCCCTTGTTGATGTCAATGATGATTTTGAACTGACTCCTATATAGTGGTTGGTACTTCTGTTGGCGTCATCTTACACTATTGATGTCAAGTGTTATACTGTGGAATACTGCCTTCTAACAGAACTACTCATAATATGCCTTTACAGTTGTTAGTCAAGTTCAATTAAAGTTGATTATGTAGTAAACACTGTCATTTTATAAAAATTAAAAGAAAAATATTTTGGATCTTAGGTCCAAACAGTTTCTAACAGAAAACTATTATTTATATTGATGAAAGATAACTATTGCATTAGAACATGTTGGCAAACTGAGCAGATATTTAAAAAGTTGATAATCTGTTAACAGCGCTGGAAGTTGTTAGCATTCTAAGAAACAAGATAACCACTAGTATTCAAATCTCTTGGGTTTTATTAAAAAATGTTATCAGTAAACTAAAAAAGTCAATACTTACCAAATAGTTTCTAATGTGGAAGAAAATCTTGGCACAAAATTCTTCAGTTTATTTTATCTGTAAATGAACTGTACAGTTTTCTTTTTGAAAGTTTTAATATTGTCTTCCTTTTTAATAACTTATTTTATACATATTGTACATCTTGTAATTAATGGTCAAAATGTATACAAAGAGATTGATCGTCAAAACATGTACAAAGAAATAACTGTAAAACTGTTTTGTCTGTTCTATTGGACCAAAGTTGTAGTTTTATGGAGTGTAATAGCAGTGTGTTCAGAGAGTAAAAAACCTTTAAATAAGGCATGCATGTGTTTGAGTTAGCTTGTGTTCATCCGCATAACTATAAAGATGGTGGCTTAGTTGTATCGCATGCTTCCTATAATTTAACTTTGCATACCTGATGCCCAAGACAAGGAGGCATTTCATTCCAGTCTCCTATGAGAGAACCTTGGACTTACTGTGTTAAGACATATTATTTAGAATTAATCATAGAAAGAAACTTTAGCTCTCTTTTCATCTCGCCAGAGAGCCTGTTTCCTCCTAAAACAACAACAAATGCCTTTGAATGGAAATTCTGAAATTGTAAATGTCTATTTTAATACTCAACAATGAAAGAATCTGTGAATATATGTAAATATGTTTAATAAATTTTATTGGTCATGTTAAATCATTGTAAAACTTTTTTACATTGCTTAAATTTAATCTTTTAAGCTTAATAGCCTTTGCACTTTTAAAATAAAAACTGAGCACTCAAAAAAAAATATTCAGTGGTCAAAAGTAAGTAAAAGACTTAGGAATATTCCAGTCAATCTCTGAAATGTTTATGAAAATTTTATTCATATGTTGTATTTTTTTCCTTGTATCAAGATGAAAAATATGTAATTAGCAAAATTTTATAATTGAAATAAGATTTGGTATGCTTTTTATAATAAAATAATGAGCAATATACTTGGAAATAGTACAGTTTCTCCTATGACATATAGATTAAGTATTCAGGAAAACCAGATATAAAACCTGCTGCTGAACTTATGAAACATTTTTGAAAGGAAATTTTTGGAAGGTTAATATAAAATTCATTATAGGAAAATGAGATAAAAGTTGATGAACCCTGCCACGATACTTTCTTGATTTATGAAATAATATTGGATGTTTCCTCTTTTGATAGGGCAAAGTTAAAAGAATGTATCAGGAATGAAACTATTTAAATTCAACTTAAAAGTTGGAAATCCCAGCTACTGAAAGAGATTGTTAAAGTTTTTGAGTGCAAAGGTGTGTATTAAGCTTAGGGATTGTTGACTTTTTCCATCAGTTCATATTTTCATTCTTACTGTACTTGGCATGCGCAATAAATCAGCATACGTGAAAAGTTCACAGTGTGAGGGTTTATTATAAAGGTCAGATGTAGTTTTCTTTAGAAATTTAGATGAAAGATCTTGGCCTTTTCACTGGATAAGTGTGGCCAGAAAGGCAGGGTAGATTTTGAAGCACTGGTTTTGTTGAAGTTAAGTTTATTAAGGCTGGGAACATAAAAGCTAATTTATAAAAGCAATACTTTCTAATACACAAAAAAAACCTTAATGCATAAGTTTGTTTATTCTTTAGCCTAGAAAGGAAATTTGCTAAGATCATGTGGCAAATCATTAAAAAAAAAAAAAAAAAAAAAAAGACAAGATTCAAGCTAAAGGAATTAAAAGGTGTAAATTCGTAGAGTGTTCGTCCAGGAAAATGGTGAGGGAAACAGCACTAACCAGACAGAACAAGTTGTCATAAGAAATCAGGAATCGAGCGAGATCAGCATCCAGCGCTGCCAGCTTTTGTCTTAACCACAGTCCTTGCTTCTTCCTCCCTAACTCAGAAAGCTGGAGCCTCTGCTCTGACTCTGCTTCACACTTCCTCTGTCAGCCATCAGGATAGCTGAGTTACTGCCTTTTCATAGGAAATGTATAATGGAGCAAGTAGGGAAGGACTCTTGTTACTAAAGATACTCTAAAGCTCTGAAATGCCAGAAGAAAAAAACCTGGAATGGAATATATGCCTAAAAAGGTTTTGGATCCTCCAAGAAAAAATAAAGGATGCTTACTTAGTTTAATCAGTGATTCTTTTTAAACTATTCAAACATCATGAACAAGATATTAAATTGTACCTAAGGATTTGTATTTCTTTAAATCTTGTTCTAAATCATATCTGTTTAATAAATGACTAGTGATATTTGTGCATGTTATTTAATAAAGAGTTATATTTTTATAGAAAAAAATAAGAGTGAAATGTGTGCTAACTGTTTTTACTCAGTGTTCCATTTCTTATACTTAAGTGAAACACCGAATGTTTACTTGGGCTTCTAGCAGGATTGCAAAAGTGTTCATCTCATAAAAACAGTCTGAAGACACAGCCATCCACATTCAGCTCCATCAATAATTAGAGGTCTCACAAATGAACTTTTAAGTAGTAGACATGCTGCAAATTTCCTAACTGCAAATTTCTCAAAGACCCTGTGAACCTCATTTGAATGGCATTTACAAATTCTACAGTTGTTGAAGAAATTGAGTGCAGAGTGAAATATTTATCTTTTTTTCTAGGAAGTTAGCAATATCTTTAATTCTACCTCTAATAACCTTACATATAAACTCTCAATTTTGACATAGAGGCTATTGACTAGTTAAAGAAAACATTTCACCATTTAAAAAAGGTTTTTCACTGGGTGCGTTTGTTCATGTCTGTAATCCCAGCGCTTGTGAGGCTGAGGCAGGAGGATTGCCATGAGTTTAACACCAGCCTGGACTACAGTGTGAAACCCTGTCTCAACAAGCGTAATAGTAAAATTTTGCAACATTTAAGGAAAAACCATTGTCAAAAAATACTAATTTTTGGAAGCTTGTGTGATGTTTAATGGTTAAAAATTCCTTGTAATTCATTATCTTGTTGATGACTTTTTCGGAAGTCTTGTTTGTGCTTAATAGGGAGTTTTAAGACCCCACAGAAATTGTCACCAGACTATATCCAGTCATAAAAACCAGGATTGTTAAAGAACCTGAGGCAGATAAAGTGAACAATTCCATTAGTTCAAACTACTTAAATGTATAGGATTATAAATATTAGCAATAAAGTAGCAAAAAGAGTACAGATAGACAGGCAAGGTTCTTCCATTGAGTAAATGCTATTCATTATCTACACAAAATGTCATTTCTGGTCATGTGACACAGCTCCATCAGGCATCAGGGGAGATGCGTGTCAATTTTTTTGCCCAAAGATAAGCAGTCTTGCCAGGTGTGGTGGTACATGCCTTTAATTCCAGCACTTGGGAGGCAGAAGCAGGCAGATCTCTGTGAGACTGAGGCCAGCCTGGTCTACATAGCAAGTTCCAGGTCAGCTGGGGCTACAGGGAGACCCTGTCTCAAAAAGACCAAAAAAAAAAAAAAAAAAAAAGATAGTCTTGGACTGGAAAGATGGCTCAGCAGTTAAGAACATTGCTCTTGCAGAGGACCCAGGTTTGGTTCGGTTCCCAGCACCCACATGGTGGCTAACAACTGTCCTTAACTCTAATTCCAGGGAATCCAGCGCCCTCTTCTGACCTCCACGAGCATTGTACATGCAGGCACAACATTGATACACATAAAATAAAAATAAATAAATCCAAAGAATTTTTTTAAAAGATAGGCAGCTTATGTTCACATGGAGAATTAGTGCCATTACCTGCAAACCTGATAATGTAAAGCACACTTGTTTATTGGTTTTCAAATGGCATTTGTAAAAGATCTGGTTGCTGTACCCAAATCTTCAACTCATACTGAATAAAAAGCTTTAGGTAGCTATTTTTTCCCTCGCTTTTTAAAATAATGTTCCTGTTAATACATAAAACATACCTAGCATGCATTCACAGATTCAGAAACACTGCTTGTGCCCACCACTCACCTTGTCAAGAGCGTTTGTCAGTACTTGTCATTTACCTTTTTAATGGTTCTAATTCATACCTAATAGGTTTTAAGTAAGCAGTTCAATAAATCCTTGACAAATGTAAACATTGTTACCATCACCCAAATGAAGATCTAAAACACTTCTGTCACCCAGGGAAGTCCTTCATGCCTCCTCAGTCAATGCTCCCTCTTCCACAGGCTACAAGTAGGCCCATTGCCTTCACTATTATTAGTTGTACCTAGTCTTGAACTTCATAGACATGAAGTCATACCATATATGCTCTTGTGTCTGCTTCCTTCTTAACCAGGTTTTGGAATTCATCCATGTTACATATATCAGTAACAAGTAGTTTTTAATGAGTAGTGTATTGTACAAATTTGCTTACTCTCTTGTTGGTAGTGTTTGGATTGTTTACAGCTTGAGATTATTATGAATAAACCTATGGACATGGAAACCTTTACTGTGGATCTTCTTTTTATTTCTTTTAGGTGTTTACTGTCAAGTAGAATTATGTCATAGCACAGGTTAGTGTTTACCTTTGTTAGAAAATGACAGTTCTCCAAAGTGAGTACCATTACCCTTGCCATCTCTATATGAAATATCATTTACTCTGAATCCTCGTTGATACTTGGTGTTATTGGGTCTAGCATTCAGGATGCCCTAAGTTCAGAACCCTCCAGCACCAAAGGCGGGGACAAAAAAGGAAAAAAAAAAGTGACATTGTCAGTCAGTTTTAGCCATTTCAGTGGGTGTATAGTGATACTTTGTAGTTTTAATTTGTGTTCCTCCCAGTGAGTAATGAGGTTGAGTTGGTTGAAGCCATTTGTACACATCATTTTGGGTTTTTTTTTCAATATTTTTATTTTATGTGTATGCGTGTATTGTCTGCATGTAGGTAAGTGCACCCATGATGTGCAATGCCCGCAGAAAAGACTGTTGGATCCCCTGGAACTGGAGTCACAGACAGCTGCCATGTGGGTGCTGGGATTTGAACCCTGGTCTTCTGTAAGAAGAGTCAGTGTTCTTAACCGCTGTGCTCTCTCTCCAGCCTGGTTTTTTTGTTTTGTTTGTTTTGTTTAATCTAGCATGTTTCTCATTTCTTGCTGCGTTGTCTTTTTTGTTAATTTGTTAGGAATTCTTGCCCTTTTTTTTGTTTGTTTTTCTGAAACAAGAGATTAAAGGCATGTGCCACCACATACAGCCAATTTGAAGCAATCCTATCAGCAAAAAGAATTATTAAAAAGTAAGGAAACTACCTTCATTTCCTCAACTAGGGCTCAAGGCATTCATTCTATTGCCCAGTCCCTTTCTTTCCTATTAACCCCCTTTCCTTCTCTCTAATTGCTTTTGTTTCAAACTTCAATACTTACGAATATTTTCTTATACAGAAAAACTGATCCCAACATAAGAGTGTAGAAACAGAGTTACAAGTATTGGAAAACAAAAAAGCTCCAACAATTTTCCAGACAATTTTAAGTATTCTCTGGCTACATCTAACATGACAGTTCTAGAAGGTTAACTGTGGTTTGGTCTGCTTTGTTTTTGTTTTTTGTTTTTTTTTTGGACAAGGTCTCCCTGTATCCCTGGCTAGCCTAGAACTCATTATCTAGACTAGGCTGTCCTTGAACTCAGAGATCCACCTGCCTCTGTCTCCTGAGCTCTGGAATTAAAGGCATGTACCACCACACCCAGCAACTGTGTTCATTTTTATGAATGTTTCCTGTTTCCAGTTCATTACATTTATTGACCTGTCTTGAACTTTGATCTTTTCATGTGTGGATATTTCAGGAGACATAGAAATGTCTGCCTCCAGCTGGTGCTAACAGCCTGAAGAATGACAAACCCAGCTTGTCCCATACATGAATTTTATTTGTGGTTGCTTTCAGAGTGGTAAGGGCCTCAGGTAATTGCCTCACCGGTCTGACCACCCCTCAGTTACAATTTTTTTTAGTATGCAAGGAAAGCAGTGGGCAAGCAGGGACAGTAACCACGCCCCTGGTCCTTGCTGAAAATCTTAAGTCTCCAGGGCAACTATCCATCAGTTTCATGTGTTGTTTTGTTTCAGTTCTTTCCTGGCCTCCTGGCCAGCCTCTCTTGTCAATAACCATGGTAGCTCCTGATGATCATGTAGTGTTTCAGATCTGGAGGTCCGGTTTTGTAACATTACTTATCATCTGAAGAATACTGGCTCTCTGATGTACACAGACCTCCTAATGTCACATTTCCCTATACAACATCAAAAAGTTCACACTTCGAGCCAGTGAAATGGCTCAGCGGGTAAAGGCAGCATGCCAAGCCTGACAACCCAAGTTCAATCCCTGGGATTCACATGGTGGAAGGAGAGATCCAACCCCCACCTGCATCCTAACACCGAAAAAAAAGTTTAAAAAAAAAGTCACACTTGTTAGTGTCAATGCCAAACAGCTCTCCAAAGGAAAGAAGAGCTAGTTTATTCTGCACCAAGTATGAGTGACCGTGACCTAGGAACATGGATTCAGATCTAAGTGCATTCACCAAATACATTGGTGACAACATCAGATTGGTGGGTTACAGCAGAGTGGGAGGTCTCTACCATAGGTCCCAGATGCTATCTGATGACATTGTTAGCTTTTGGGTTGGTGGAAGCTAATGGTCTCCTAAGTTAATACAGTCCAAAGATTTTACCTGTGTTAAAAGGATGTTAGGTCACATCAGAGGTGGCAATAAATGGCTATTAAATGGGTTTGGGATAGTCCAAAATAATTTTGGCCCTT